CAGTGCTGGCTGCATTTCTGCCAGGGAGAGCTTGCGCAGAGACAAGGTCCACAGTGCTGTAAGCCCTGCAGAAATGGTCTGCTCTGGGGAGGCCGTGACAGCAGCCCAGGAAAGCCAGGGTAGAGCCACAGATCCTGTAAAGTCAGGAGGGCACCAGGACTATTTGGAGTTTGAGGGAAGCTGAACCAGGCAGGACAGCAGGACTATGAACTTCCGATGCCAAAGGCAGTGCCCCTCCTCTCCCCCCAGGGGGCAACTCCACTTTCCCACATCTAGGAGTTATTTTTATGGATGGATTTATTTTTACCCTTTCTAGACCCAAACCAGCTGCTGGAACAAACAAGGCACCAAGGCTTCTGGGTTTCCAAAAAACACAGGCTGCAGTGGCTGGCTCAGCTGGAGATCAGACCTCGGTCCACCCTGGAGTCCCTTTGACCCACCTCTCCCACCTTTCTCTCCTGTCCTGGGGGTGGGGGTAGGGATGAGGATGGGGATGAGGGTGGAGTGGAGGGGGAGAAGGGTTTTTTTCCTCTTATCCCACAACCACCCACAGATCAAGAAGAAGCACAGCTCTCAAAGGAAGGACATGTAGCCACCATGGATGTCATTGTCCCGGCCTGCCTATGCATCCCACCAGCCAGGAGTAATTCAGCCACACAGCTTCTTCCATGCACCACCCCTTCCTACCCCTCCCACCAGTGCCCCATCCCCACACAGCCTGTCTGCCTGGACTTCCAGGATCTTGCCATTCCGCTGAGTGGCCAGGCAGCCAAAGTAGAAGTCTCCTTTACTAGGACCACACGTCTGGCCTTAATCATTACAATGTTACCGAACTCAAATCAGGTTCACTTGTTTAAGCACTATGAAACCAAGCCATAGGCACACGGTGTGATGAAGGAAAGTACAGGCTTACTGCAAAGCGCGCATCTAGGAGAGCGGGCAGCTCATGCTGAAAAGACCCGGTCTCCCCAAGATGTTCCCCACATGCGTTTTTTAAGGGCAAATTTAGGGGCAGAGGTCCTAGGCACATGATCAGTTCTGTGATTGGTTCAATAGGGCGTGATCATCTCCTGGGCATTCTTGATTGGTGAGGCCTTAGATAATCAAATTTCTGTTTAGATTTCTGGAGCTATTCAGCCTGGGGTCTTCGAGCTCACAGCCAACGGTTTCCATCCTACAAAACATCTTACATATTGAAATGAAAACCTTATCTTTCCTACCCCCCCCCCCCCCCGCAGGTGGCATGGTGGTTAAAGTGCTGGACTCTCACATGGCCAATCATGGTTGGAGTCCTGGACCTGGAGGCTTGCTTTCTCCTTCCTCTTGTCCATTTAACCTTCCCCAGCTCTGGTCAAATTGAATAATAATGATAAATAAAATTAAACAATTCTTTAAAAAAAAAACAAAAAACCTTATCTTTCCTTTAAGTGAGAGTTGTAGAGGTCAAATGGCCCTTATTCATGGTCAATGTTGTTTCATTATCATAACCAAAGTCTGAAGACTTACCCCTCTGGACCATTACAATGTAAATAGACCTTATATTTCAAGAACATTAGAATTAGAAAATACAGTAGGGGATCCCTGCTTGGTTTCAATACCCCCAAGACAAGTTTACAAAACAATTAGGGGATGCCTCCACCTACAGTCACTGCAGACAAGCTTAAAATATACTTTAATACATTTGAAGAGCCATTTCAGAGACTGGCTTTCTCATGATAAAGATGCAACTGACACTCATTGGGCACTAAAATGTCAAGTTGTTGCCATCCAGCAGGGAACCTGACAAGCCATTAAAGCTGAAGCTTTCTGTTCAGGCGACCCCTTCTCTTCCCGTCCCTTCCCTTCCCTTCCCTTCCCTTTCTTCTCATGTCTTCCTCCGAAATTGATCTGGGCTTCTAGAGCCAACATTTTGATAGGACCTATCAAAATGTAATAAGGTTCCGTCTCTATCCTTACCGTGTCTGTTCTTCCACTGAAAAGCCTCAGGGAGGTGTGGGAAAGGGATCAGAGAAGCCCGGGGCAAATATGAGAACAAACTCATCTTTAGTGTCTTTCAAGGGCCTTAGGGGCACTTCAATTCCCCAGGAAGAGAACCTCTTAGGAAACAATCCAAGGATGGTTCCCATAGAAGGTGACCCTAAAATCACCCCCACACACCTTACAGCCTTCCTTCAGCTGTGCTCAGCTGCAGCTTCTGCGAGGTTCGAGTACAGGCAGAGGCTTTCCTTGGATTCCGGTCCTGAGCTAGACGGCCCTGATCACAACCATCCCCACAGAGGAACTCAGTTCCGAGTGCAGCCCGGCTGCTCTCAGAAAGTCTCCTTCCTCTTGTCCGTTTAACCTTCCCCAGCTCAGAAATAGGACAAGGCAGAGCGAGTAAGAAATACTAAGATAGGAAAACAGAGGGAGAAAAGAAAGTACCCACATGTCGGGACATTGGGGAGGGTGCTAATGAACAGTGGGAAACTGGCTGCTTCTCCGTGCCCACATGGCTCTGCGTGCTGGGCAGGGAGAGTGGCAAAGGAGAACAGGTACGGAGAGAGGAGTTGGTTAGGACAAGGGGATCAAAGAGGCCTCTTCCCAAACTCCTATTTAAAAAGTTGGGACGTTGTGGCCAGTCACCTCTTGGCAGATTACAACCACTATCTGTGAGATCCACGCTGAGCTGCCTGCCATGGGCACACACATATGAGGGTGTGTGCTGACGTAGGTGTGGGACTAGGCAGTCAATGCAAATACGGTGTGTGAACTAGCTGATGGTGCATGTTTGTACTGGAAAGCCATAAGGTTCTATGCAAAATCTACAGGTGGCATGGTTGCACAATGCTGGTGGGTGTGTAGGTGTGGGGGTGTGATTAACAGTTTATAGGCTGTGTAGAAGTGCACGAAGGTCTGAGCGCGTGCAAATTGAAATGCAAATGCATGCCAGATTATGATACCAGTGCAGGAAAGCGCATGGGCTTTGGAGTCAGACTGACTTGGCATGGATCCTGCTGTCATCAACCAGATGTGTTGTAACCTTGGACCAGTCACCAACCCTCAATTTCCTCAACCGCGAAATGAGGATAACAGTAAGAACCTTTCCAGATAAGCCGTGTTGGTTAGAAATGATCCACTCTAGGGGGCCAGCAGGCAGCCTGGCGACTAAAGGCTCTGATTCCCACATGGCCGACTGTGGTTCGAGGCCTAGACCTGGCAGCTTGCTTTCTCACTTTCCCTCTCTCCCTCTGGTCAAACTGGAAAATAATAGTAGTAATAATAATAAAAACTAAAGTTAAATAACAATAAGAGAAACGATACAGTATATACAAAGCATGTAATGGCATAACCCATACATAGTAGTATTCGGAAGAGGCTGTTCTCCTTCACTGGGGGTGTGCCTCTGGCAGGTACAGGGACAGGAGGGAGTGAAGTGTGCCCTGCATGTGAAACGTGGGTGAGAAGATGCCTTCTCATGCGTGTTGGCACATGTGTGCACGCATTCAAACCAATTCCTTCTCCTTCTCCTTCTCCTCCAATGAGCCCCCTTTTCGGGCAGGTTCCTGGGTCTTGGGTCTGAGTGAGTAAGCAGTTGAGAGAGGCCAGTAGGAGCTGCAGGAAGCCAATGCCTGCAGAAGCTTCCTTTTTCCCCCCTCCACCCTGCAACGGTTGAATACCGCCACCACATCCACTCCCCACCTCCGCCCTCACCCACCCCACCCCTAGTCCGCTTTCCTCTCTACAAATGAGGGCAAGGACACAGGGAAACCCGAGAGCAAAGGATTCCTCCCCTCTCTTTCCCCATTCCTCCTTAAGATAGACCAGGAAGCAGCCGCAACTCGGCTCGGGCCACCTTAACCGTACAGTAAAGGTCTGGACTCCAGGCAAGT